GGCACTGGATGATCTCTATGGTCCCTCCCAGCCCAAACCAGTCTGGGATTCAGGGCTATGGTGTTGTGAAGAGTCCCAGGACCAACCCCAGCCCTTGGAGAACTCCCTGTGCCTCACAATGAGTTATCCCATTCCCACCCTTCCTGCAGTGTCCCCCCATGGCAGGGTCTGCAGCCTGACCTGCTGCTGGGGCTTCTCTCACTTGTCTGGGGTGGGCACCTGCTCTTAGAAAACCTCCTTTGGGGTTTGGATAACCCCTCATGCCTGGGACAGCCACGTCTGCACCTCGTGCACAGCTCTGGGAGGGGGAGGCCAAGGTGTCCCTGGACAGAGCCACTCTGGGAGCTGAGCCTGACCCAGTTTCTCAGATCCTCAGCTCAGACTAATCCCAGGTTTGTGGGGAAAGTTCCAGCCCTGAGCTGCCTGCTGGGATGAAAAGGGGCTCAGGTTAATCCTCCCTGTGGGACATGGCTCAGATCTCACCTCACACCTCGTGTGCTTCCCTTCCCTTGGGATCAGGAGGGGAAACAGGGACAGTCATTCCTGGTATTCTGCTGGTCAGGAACTCAGCCCGAGGTTCCTGGAGAAGGGGCTGAGAACCTCTTTGACACAGCAGCACTTTTGTGCAATTCTCTCACCTGAGGGGCAGGGGCTGAAGGTGGTTTGGGGCCTCAGGAGCTGCTCCAGCTGCATTTCCAGCCTGATCCTGTACCTGGGATGCACGAGGCATCCCCAGTGCTGGGGATGAGGCTGCTGGGGGGTGGGTAATGCAGGAGGCCAGAGGATGGACTTCCCTGGATTTTGGACTGGCCCAGTCTGTACCCCCTGCCCTCTGTGCTGTGGTTTCCTCATCCCTAAAACCAGTGGTGATGCCGAGCTGCTCCCGAGGGTCCCTGAGGTTACAGCCATGTGAGCACACAGACACCCTCCTGGCCCTTTGGGATAAGTGCTCCAGCAGCCTGTGTCCCCTTCCAGGGGGCCACGAGGCACCACAGGCAGGTTATGGGGCTGGGCTGTGCCTGTCCCCTGCAAAGACCCCACTGGGGGCTCAGCATCACCTGGGCACTGGGGCTGCCAGCAGCACCACCTCCTGCCCAGAGCAGTCCTGCACCCTCCCAAATGCTGCCCCGTGTCCCCCTTGTGCTCTTGGCTCGGGTTGAGCAGGAAAACTGTTGTCTTGTCGATCCAGCAATCCATGAAAATGCCTTCATTGTGTTCATCTCGTCGGCCCTGGGCCACATGCTGCTCACCTGCATCCTCTGGAGAATGACTAAGAAACACACAGTAAGTCCCGAGGTACAGACACTTTCCTTTCTTTTCTCTCTGCTGGGAGCTGGGACTGGGGTCTGGTGCTGTGCTGGGAAGGGGCTCTGGTGCAGATCTGGGAGCTAGGAGGGGGCTCTGGGCTGGCTGTGGGGGGCTTTGGCTGCCCTTGCTTGTGAAATGACCCTCAGCAGGTGAAACTGGGAAACAGTCTCCAAAATCCGTGGTTTACCACAGCAAGGTGGGGAGGAATCTTTTCATTTCCTATTTTGTGGTTTTATCATAGAATCACAGAATCCCAGAGTGGTTGAGGTTGGAAGGGACATTAAAGCCCATCCAGTGCCACCTCTGCCATGGGCAGGGACACCTTCCACCAGCCCAGGTTGCTCCAAGCCCCGTCCAACCTGGCCTTGGACACTTCCAGGGATCCAGGGGCAGCCACAGCTTCTCTGGGCAACCTGGGCCAGGGCCTCCCACCCTCACAGGGAAGAATTTCTTCCCAGTGTCTAAGTTTTCCTTTAAAGCTGATATAGAAAACCACCATTAGCATCCCAGTGGGTCAGGGTTGCTGATCCCTTCTCCATGCCTGTTTCCAAGCTGACATTGCCTCCCCTGTGCTGGGAATTTCTGGTCCTGCAAGCTGGGAGCAGCAGGCAGCAGGATTTGTTTTCCCTTTCCTCCTGGAATGGCTGTGTGGAGCAGGCTGGCTCTGGCTCTTGTCCTCGGAGAGGGGACTGGGGAGTGCAGGATGGGCTGGGTGGGCAGTGGGTCTGGTGGAGGATCCAGCCAGGGGCTCTTGGATCCAGGGCCTGGATGCAGCTTCTGTGCTGTGCTGGTGTGTGACACGTGTGCTGAGCTGTGGGCACTGGCACAGCCATGGGCAGGACATCCAGGTTTGTCCTGGACCCTGGACAGCACTTCAGGTTTGAAGCTGTGTGGGAGCTGCTTCTGTGCCCATGTGGCTCCTGCACCCTTGGCTTCCCCTGCAGCTCTGGGCTCCCTGGATCCCCCCGTCCTTTCCCCTCAGGCTGTGTCTCTCCAGCAGATCCCAGTGCAGTCCTGGTGGTCCCCAGTGCTAACTGGGGAGGGTCCCCAGGGCTGTGTTGCCCTGGGAATGTGATCCTTTGCAGAGCAGAGCCCTTGGGAGCTGTGTGCCCAGACCCCGGGGCTGGAGCAAGCCTCTCCAAAGGGAGTGTGTGTGGGATGCAGGGGGTGCTGTGCTCGGGGTCTGCTCAGCCCCCTGTCCCAGCAGGATGAGCCCTGGGAGGGCTCTGCTCTGGCAGAGCTCCCACTCCTTCCCTGTTCATCCTCCCTTCCACCCCTTCACCGAGCCTGTCCCTGGGCTGCCTCTCTCCACAGACCTGGAAAAGAAGCTTCCAGCAGTTGTTTGGCTGTAAGGTTCCCTAGGAAAGGGAGTGTTGGAGGTGCTGGGGTTCCCCTTGCTCACTGGGAAGTGATGTGGGAATATCAGGAGCTCACAGTCATTCCTTGGCAGCTTTCCCATGGCTTCCTTTATTTATGTCACTCTTTTTGGCCT